TTACATTACATTACATTACATTACATTACATTACATTACATTACATTACATTACATTACATTACATTACATTACATTACATTACATTACATTACATTACATTACATTACATTACATTACATTACATTACATTACATTACATTACATTACATTACATTACATTACATTACATTACATTACATTACATTACATTACATTACATTACATTACATTACATTACATTACATTACATTACATTACATTACATTACATTACATTACATTACATTACATTACATTACATTACATTACATTACATTACATTACATTACATTACATTACATTACATTACATTACATTACATTACATTACATTACATTACATTATAAGGGTATCCGGTAATGTCCCCACGGTAGCGTGTCGGTCGAATCAGGTACGATATATCGCTTGTCGTCGTACGGACTCAGGGCGATTTTTGTCTCGCTGATTGTGTACACTTCGTGCAATTTTGACCTTATGCAGGACTGCTGTCGAGTCATTTCAATTTCATCGTGCAGGCACCGCGTGTAATCGTCGAACGTTATCGTTCTCGCTACGACGTTACTCTTGACGCCTTTAACCTTTTTTGTATCCTTTTTACTATCTACTCGCAACGCGTTCATTTTTGCTCTAAGCCCGACAAATTCAGTCATGATCGCACCGTTATTCTCGTCCTTCATCAAGCCCGGCACTTTCTTGTTCTCGAGCGGTATACCGTACGCGTTGTTAGCCGGATAATCGCTCGTGTCGAATCTAGCGATATCGCGTTTCATATTCTCGTACACATCCTCGCACTCGATGTGATAAATCAAACTGTCTGTATCGGTGTACATTATTTTACATTTCTCTCGATATAACGGTACCATGTATTCGTGATGAAATTCGTACAAACACGTTTTAGAAATGTCTAGGATGCACATACCGACGTAGATCGGTTTATTAAATTTCACCTCGAGTTTGCACAATTCGACAGCGACCAAATTTTCCGAAAAGACGCTCCTGCTGTGAAAATTTGGTTTCGCGATCATCGCCTCCGCGCCGTATCGTCCGTCCCACTTTGTTAATAATTTTACATCGACGTGATTGCGCACGTTTTCCATAGTTTTACCGAATACCGCGTTGTTCATTAACTTGTATAAATTTTTCTCGAAATCGTTTGTCGCGCGCGTTCTAAACCGGGTGTTGAGTTCGATGTAATCGCGGAGCCATGCGGATTGAGCGAATTGTAATACGCGATGTATCTTTGCGACGCGAAGGCCGTGACGCGTGCATTGTTGCAGGTTGCGATAGTGTATGACGTAACGCTTCTTATCGTATAATGTCGCGAGGAGCTTGTCCTGCCGCTTGCCGGGCGGCTTATCGCGCGTCGGGCAAAACGGTAGGTCGGCGTGCGCGTCGTAAAGATGTTGCGGATACTTGAGATCGATCTCGAGAATATAACCTATGGGTGAATCCGAAGCGATCGCGCTAACGTTAAAGTCAGAGATGTCGTCGACCCATCGAAATTCGGCATAGGGCAACGGTTGACACATCGCCCAACCGTACAAGTTGTTTACATCGAAATACATCATGTACGACGATGGTTTCGATGGATCGTAAGACGGCGTGTACTTGTTATTGGCTCGCGCGTATCTGCCGGAACATTGGCTCAGGCCACCGCGTATTCCCCGTTCGATAAACATAACCATATCGATATCAGTAAGTAATTCAAACGTAATATTCGTATGTTTTAGCATGGCGTCCCACGTGTATCCGGGAAGAGTATAGTAATACGCGGGGTCGATCCCATAACTCTCGATACATTTGTCGTGGAAATTTTCAAAAACGTCAGCCAATAACAAGACATCCGTTTTTAAATACAAGTCGCTGCCCAGCAAGCAAAATGATGCAAACTTTGCGCAAAGTTTGCAGCAAACCCGAGCATGCCTTTACAGCAAAATTGTGACAAGGTGTGTCCACAAAAAGCTTAGCTTTTGCTGGTAAGGCTTGTCGCAATAATGTGATGTACATTTTGCGCAAATAATAGAGCAAATCTTGCCGTGCACGGTATGACAGCAAATTTGTGGCAAGAACAGGACAAACTTTTTTGTGCACGGGATGACAGCAAATTTATGGCAAGAATAGGGCAAACCTTGCCATGCACGATAGTGAAATTCGTATAAACACACTTTTGATATATCGAGTATACACATACCGACGTAGATCGGTTTATTGAATTTTACCTCGAGTTTGCACAATTCGACAGCGACCAAATTTTCCAAAAAGACGCTCCTGCTGTGAAAATTTGGTTTCGCGATCATCGCCTCCTATCTGGGTGTATTCGCCCAGCGTTCGAACGGAGAATCGCTTCCAGACGTTCTCGGCGTGCGCGTAATCGTTCTCGGATACAGTATCACCGGTCAAGGAACTGTAAAATGATTCGCGCGATGGTAAACGTGTGTCCTGCAGCTTGTCCGCGCAATCCACATATTCGTATGGAAAGACACCTTTCCGCGTCAATAACTCAAAATCGTGATCGGATAATGCGGAAAATTTGGAACGTAAAATTTGGAGTTTATCATTATTTAGAAACGATGCTAATTTTTCGAGACTCGTACTGAGAAATTTGTACGAATTGATGAACCGTAACTTTATATCGCTTCGCGAATCTGATTTTTCGGCGGTATCTTTAACGTGTTTCGTGAATGAAATATACTTTTCTTTCGTTATCGGTAGTACGTCGATCGAGCCTTCGAACGCTACAGCTATTTCCTCGATGATATAATGTGAATCGTAACCTGATAAATTGTGAAAAACTATTGGAATGCAAAAAGAGTCTTTATAATTTAAATTGCAGTTTGAATGCGCGGGACCTCGGTACCGCCCGGTAAGATGGCAATGATCGCGTACGCGTGTATCGTCTTGCGCAAACGGTTTTTCGCAAATGTGACAGTGTGTTGCGCTGAGAAACTTTTCCCGCTCATCTCGCGTTAAATTTACCATGGGGCTATTCGTGGTTAAAATAGTCTTTACGCGTTGCGCTAAATTTTTTAATTTTTCCCCGAACCACGAAACGCAGTCCGTACTGCGGCGAGAATGATACATGGATAACGATTCGTCGTACGAACAATGTACATAATAAGCTACGCTAAATACTTGAATTCGATATAGTATGCGTTAATCAACGCACCGGTCAGTATACGGTTTTCGAACGCGGTATCGATCTCTCGCAACAAAATCTTCCTCTATACCGAACACTTGACACATAAAAAAATACAAGTACCCGCTGTACCTTTTTCAACTAATATACGGACCGCAAGCTTTCAAATCGCATACTGAGTTTTTGGTACCCTTCGTTCTTCATTATATATTTTTTATCTATCGCGTTATGGTACCGCGATGGTTCTATTTTGTTTATAATAAATTATAGCAGCCGGACATCGGCGCTCGCCTTATCATCTTTCTACGAAATTCAATAATGCCGCACGTGCAATAGTGCGAGACGATATTTGTTTATAATGTTTATAAATTCGAGCAGCCGGACATCGGCACTCGCCCTTTGTAATACACCGCGCTGTTTATGCTCCCGCGATAAGCTCCTCCGCCCGCGTGACGTCATTCCCCCGCGCCGCCAAAATCCCCCTCCGCCCGCGTGACGTCATGCCCCCTCGCCCGCGCAGGACCCCCCGTCCCTCACCTCCTCTCAGAGGACCTGGCTTAGAACTCTCCTAGTATCACTACCCCTGTAATTTCGATGGGAACATAAGATGGTGCTATTGGTTTGATCTTCGATGAAGGTCATGTTATTTCGAAGTCATTTTAATTTTTTTAAATGGAACCATCCTAATTCGTTTATATAAATCGATTCCTCGCAATATTTGGTGTAAAAAGTTACAAGGATAGTATAGCCAAAAATTGAAGTTTACAAGATATTTTATATTTTAATATGACATAATTTTACATAAACTATAAAATATCATAAAATATATTTGCTTTTCGATTATCTTATCTCGATACTTTTATGCACAAAATCAAGAAAGGAATCAATCGGTGTATAAGAAACACATATAGTTATTTTTAAGAAAAAATATGTAGTTACTACGTTGAAAATTTATATTTTTTTTTTTGTATTTATTCACCAACCACTTTTCCTGCTCGTATTGGCTTATTAATTTTACTTTGTGATATTTTAACAAAAAAATGTTTGTTTCGAAATCATCTATTTCCCTTCAAATAATGTTTGTGGGTTTAACTTTTTAACATCATATATATATATATATATATATATAATTATACAATTGTTCAAACCCTTATATTACTAA